TGAAACTGCCCCTAATATTGTCGCTGCTTATGAACGAGGGTTAAAGTCTTAAATATTTCTGTGGTGGAACTCGAAAGTGGGCCGGCAGGAATGCAGTAACCCTGTCCAGAGGCAGCCTGGGGCCCAGAACTTCGCCCCAGGCAACGCAGACCTGGGTTGTCTGCGCTGGGCTGTGTGACCAAGACGCCGCCCAGGCCTGAGTCTGATGCGTTTGGCTGTGTGACCAAACGCTGTATACTGGAAATTCAAAGGTCAAAGTCAACTGTAGAGTCAAAGGTACCACGCCCAGGCTCTTGGTTGGATACACTCACTTGTTGTGCGCAGGTACCTAGACAGCATCCAGGCCGGAGGGAATTCAGTTTCATATCAATCTGGACCCTCGTTTGCATTGAGATCTGGACGACTAAGGGATGCAGCATCCGGGGTCCAGACCCCGCGTCAACACTACATAAGCGCTGACTTCCTGGCTTTGACATTCATTCTGTCTTGCGTTAATGCTGACTTCACGCGTTGACGACGCGACGCTGGCTCGACGCTGCGACGCCAGTGGACGCTGGCTTTTGTGCTGGCATTTGTGAGATTGCGGCGACGCGCTGCTGGCTTGGCATGGTGGCTGGCTGGCTACTGTCTTCAAGGCATGCTGACGTGGCAGCTGCCACGTGTTATATTGCTGGGACTACGTGACCGACACTGCTGTTCTATTTCATCGTCACTTCAGGAGGAGATCAGGACTGTGGAGAGGTCGTGGATAAGTACCTGTTTGTCTTCATGTCGATATTGCTCCAGCGCTGATGAGGGACTGATTAGACGTGGCACGTGGCACATTGTAGCAGGACTTCGATTATGTGTTCAGACTATTGATTATTTGAGGTGGCGATTGAGGAGGGAGCCCGAAGCAGGAGCGGGCATTGTACATTATTCCTCTCCTTTGTCTAATCTCCCTCCTCTCTCCTTTGTCTGTGTATGATTATCTCATCTCATTCTTTCTGGACACGATTTTGATTATTGGTAATCACCAGCGGTTTGATATTCTGGACTTGCATTGTTGACGAGTGTTTTCATGATCTGGGTTCATTGCATCAACAATTGCTGGAGAAAAGGACACTGTCTATTTACCAGTCTGAATTTGTCGGTCAACAGTCAACGTGATGCTTGACAGTCTTGATCCGGTTTCCAGCATAGGCACAGCTGGTCATAGCCCCAGTACTTCCCAGGTCGAATTGAGAGGTCCCAGGCCTCTTTTTTTTTTTTTTTTTTGAGCCTTTTTTTTTGAGCCTTTTTTTTTAAGCCTTTTTTTTTAAGCCTTTTTTTTTTTTTTTTGGAAAGCAAACCCTTCATGTCCAGGGGGGGGGCGCTTAACCGGGTGATAAGAGTAGCCCTTTGAAGCGGTCCCCTGTATTTGAAGGCTCCGTCTATTGATGGGGACTCGTGGAGAGCTGCACCTGCTGGAAATTGGGTCCAGCGTTTAAGTTGAATGTAATAAGATTCTGCGAGGCTCAAGGCCTCGATAAGCCCTACTGGGCCCTCTTTTCAGTACAGTCGGCCGCCCTAAGTGAAGGCAGGCACGACCAAGGCCTATTTGGGGTATCCACGCTACTGGGGAAATTCAGGCAGTTGAGCAGAGCCAGTTGGTTGAAAGCGCCCAGGTCCTGGCTACTTTATCAAATGCATCTGAGTCAGGCCTTGGGCGAGATACGCAACAAGGACCCAACACAGGCTGTGGGCAGTTGGGCACGGGTAACTGTCACAGGCCCTGGGCCTGATTCGTTCAGACTGGGGCTCAGCCTCCCGGGGCCTACTGGAAGCTTCTGGGCCGGGGCCCGGTGCAGCCAGGTCGCACGCAGCAGGCAGGCCACTTCCATTTAGGAAAGTGCCTGCCCCCGCATTCCTCATTCGGGCACTGGCTGCATGCTGCGCAAGCGCTGCTGTGCTATATGCTGGCCAGCGCTCATGCGCTCACGGGCGAGCTGGATAAGCAGGCAGCCATAGCCGAACTGCGCTGCTGTATGCTGGATGGGGCGCATGGTGGTCCTTGGGTGCAAGTGGCATCTGTGAGTGGGGGATCGAAGTTGTGAGTGATACGAGAGACATACCTGGTGCTTGAGGCGAACGGCATTGGCCGAGTTCTGCTCGTACTTCGGGGAGCTGTTGACATCACCAGCGGCATTGTAGATAGGATCTGCCATTTGTAGTCTGGGCGCAGAGCGTCAGATAGGATGTCGACATTGGTTCTTTGTTGATGATGATGAGACTATTCCAACATTGTCACTTATGAGCTTTTGCTGTCCTCTTATTTGGTGAAACTCGTGTTGCAATTCTGCTTTCGGTTCAAGGTCACGACTATCTGGTCTCATGTGCATGATGCTGCTTGGTTTCTGAAGTTCGCTATCGCTCATTTTCCTTGCAATTCTGTTTTTCTCCAATCAAAAAATGAGCAGGGAAAAAAAAAAAAAAAAAAAAAAGAGCAGGGAATTTGGGTACTTAGTCTTTACCTCATAGTACTGTGCACAGAGATCTTGGAGTCTTATTTTGAGATTCCCCACCACCAACTCAGACCATGCATACAAATTGGATGCTTCTGGCCCTTTTGATTCATCTGCAACTTTTTCCTCTTGCCTCGGTGTTTTGCTCCTACTTGTCTTCTTGGCACTGCCTTTATTCCGAGGACTGTCTTCTTGTTTCTTTTCCTTTGGGGATGTCATTGGAGTTTTCCATCCCTTGTTTTGTAAACTTTCTCTCGGGGATGCCGTTGGAGTTTTCCGTCCCTTATTGTTTGACATTTGTGTCTTCCTGGCCGTCTTGGAGGTAAATTGGCCTTCATCAGACTCAGCATGTCCAGGGGTCACATCCGGCTGTGAAGTATAGAAGTCTATATTTACAGGTGGTACCTCTATCGTAGTCTGTATACAGTCAAGCAGCTCTGCTCTCTGATTGACAAGTTGTTGGACTCGTTTTAGCTGTGACAAGACCTGCAGAAACGAGAGATGGTTAATGGAAGGCCCAAAATTCGGGGTTTTTCACCGCATCACCACAAGCAATGTCGCCGAAAATGACACCATCTATTAAATTATTAGTGACAGGAACAAGGGCACAGATCACCATGCGTGTATTGCAGGATACAACAACAGAATATCCCTTCATTTTGACTCTCGTCCTCCACCCAAGTTTTCTGATTCCCTTTCAGAGTTCTTGAGTGAGCACTGGCAGTTACAATTTCTGACTACTGTCTTCACCCGAATACAACGCCCGGTCTTTAGACCTGCATTCGGGCCATTTTTCCGTCTAGATACGGCGATAATGACAGGGCGGTCTATTCCGGTGAAGACGGTAAGAGCATTCTTTGATAGAGTCAGGTTTCTTCTGCTCTGTGGGCTAAGCACCCACTGACAGAGTGAGACCATCTGAAAACAGAGAGAGATTGTAGGATAGGACGAAGTTACACATGTCTTTAAATCCCACACAGCACTCAAAGCCAATTGAAATACAGGAAGGCCAAGAGGGGGAGAAGAAGAAGTAATGAGAAGGGGAGGGTGGTAAAAGAGGCGGGAGAAGGGGAGAGAGAGGAAGAAGAGCCCATGTATATTGCTGCATCTCTCGATCTCTATACTGTGCATGCGGTGCGAAGGCCAGGCAGCAGATTGGCAGGAGGGACTGGCAATCCCTGAGGCCTTTCTACTACCATCACAAGCAGCAGCAGCAGAGGGGACATCTTCCTTTATCATCTGAAGGCAAAGAAGAAGAAGAAGAAGAAAAGTAATACATAGATGGGAAGAGGGAAGGATGGAAGGAAGAGGCAGAGAAGGGGGGATGAGACTGGGGAGAGAGGTGAAAGCATAGCAATGTGAGAGAGGCTAAGAATGCCAGAAAAGGCGAGAAATCTGCTGGTTGACAGATCTGTAGATGCTCCTCTCTGCTTATCATCCGCCATAGCTGAAGCAAGTCTTGTTCAGAATTCAGCACATGCTCCATTGCTATGGGCAAGAACTGTAGCTAGAGGGTCACACCGTGAGGAACATGGAGCTCACAAGACAGCAGAGGGAGTGATTGAGCGGGTGCTGGAAAGGGGGCTCCATCGTCGATCAGATCAAGCCATTCCAGCAATTGTATATTAAACCGCCAATACATGGCCCCAGCTGACTTCGAAAAACTCATGGCTCACTCCAAAAGCTTCAGAGGCTCAGGGCTACCAGACCACAATGGCTGGCGGCACAAGCAAAAAAAGAAAAAGGTGGGCCACTGGTAGTTTGGTAAAGCTTGGCATGCAGTGTGAATCCGCCACGCTTGGGTGTACTGGTGGTTCAAGTTGTACAAGGGGCACTGGGCAGCGGGCCCAGTTCCCAGCAGGTGAAGTGCCCCATCTATAGACAGGAGCTGTCTATTACAGGTCCCGGGAAAAAAAGGGGAAAGAAATGCCTCCATTGCCAGAAAGGTGAGTCCATCCCAAACAGCTGTGCAGCAGATGTCAATGCTAGAACGAGTGCTGCATAGACTATAGTGAAGCAGAGAGGGAGGGCGCAAGCAAGATCCGCCCCGACTTACAGTGCCTGAGAAGGGCGAGAGGGATGATCAGGTTTGGAAGCAGCACAAGGCAGATCGGCAGGAAGAAGAGTAGGATTAACACGGGGGAAGCAGAGAGCAGATGGACCCATGGCAAAAATCAAGGGAGGCTCGGCCATACCACTTTGTCTGCATCCCTATATTCCGCCAACTGTTCCGAATCAAGGAAGAAGTCCATGAGTGAACTGTGACTGCCTGCCATGCAAAAACGACCAAAGGAGAGGCGATGGAAACTCCTAAAGAGAATAGATGACCTAGTCCAGTAATTACCCTTCCTATATAGTCCAGTGATATGCCGACCTTTGGTATTCCTGGGAAGAGGCCTAGCTGTAGTAATGCTTCCAGTAAGAACTGATATAACCCGAAGGAAAGCATATGTGCGAAGGAGGCTTGTTAGAATCACCACCCTGCAGGATATCCACGCGCCCGCGCCATTGGTTAGCGCGATTTCCAGCACTGCGCTATAGTGCGCGCGTGCCCAGCCTAAGCCCGACGGGCTGCCGCCAACTGAAACCCGCCGCCACCCTCACGCCCAGCCGCCCGTGCGCCGCGCACGCCCAACTTTGAATTTTGAAGCTGGGAGGCAACGCCCGCCATCGCCCCGAGGGCTCGAAGAAGCCACGCCCGAGCGCACCCCCCGTGCGCGCACCACCGCAAAGAAGGAAGCTGGCCACAGTGGCCCTCCTCGAAGCTGCTTCGAACATCCCGGGTAGAAGCCGTCCGAAGGTCAAAGCTGGCGACACCAGCAGCTTCACAACCACAAAATGCAACAACCATCCAGCCGTAGATCGACATGCCACCAATCGCCGAAAGACTGAAGGAGCTCCAAATCCGAAGGCCACCTCCGCAAGATAACAAACCACACTCTGTGAAGGCATCTGCGAAGGCACCAAGACTCAAGCGAGGAACACAATCTCCCTGAGACATCCGACTGCAGCGATAGACTCCAGACATCAACCATTAACAACTAAGTGAGAAGTCCGCCATCACACCCCTCAACGCTATCTTCCTGCCCACGACTAATGTATCTCTCCTGAATCCCCCCTCCCGAGTCCACCACACACTCCCTCCCCTAAACTAAGCCGGACATTCCACCTCGCCTCCTAAAGACACCAATCCTTCCCCCCCACCTCCTCCCCCTTCCTCCAACACTCCTGACTTAACCCCGCAGCACATCAGTCACCTTCTCCCCACGCAGCACATCAGTCACCTTCTCCCCACGCAGCAGTCCAGCTCCACCCCCCATTTTATGCTCACACCCCCAATCCTCAGCCCCCAACCCCACCTCCTCTCTCACTTCCAGCCCTCCGCTCCATCCCCTACAACCACCACACACTTTCAACCCACTTTATCCTTTGCTACCCCATCTTACCTCCCCCAGCCCCATCAACTCCGAACCTGCACTCTCCCTCGCCTGACACCACCCACCCATCTCGCAACTCTCTTTTCAAGCTCCTACCCCGGCGCGATCACTGATCTCGCAACGAGCAATATGTCCGCCTATCCTTTTCTCCCTCCTCCCCTATCACATCCCCCCCCTCGCTGTCACCTCCCTTCTCCCCAACCGCCTAACAAATACGTTACTAACACTCCCACTCTCTCTATGTCTATCCACTCGCCACTGCAATAAGTACCTCTCTGACCCATATCCACCTGTCGGCTTCATCGACCACCCTCTCCCCCCCTCTTCCAACCTCCAATAACACAATAATCATGATAATGAGGGTGTTACTATCATAGTACCATCATCATGGTGAACACCATCGCTACACAACACTAGCGATCTCAACCCTTCTGCCCTTGTACTACTCAGGTCGAAAAGTGCTTCCCGCACTCAGAGGAACTCAATATATACTATCTATTTGTTCGGGAACTGCAAACTCTACGCTACTGATTTCTACCATGCACGGTGGGAAAAGCCCAACGGTAAGTGCCGAAGGAAAAGAACTGTCGTAATTCTCTATCTTGCACAGCGAAAAACAAAGTAACGAAAAAACGAAAAACGAAAAAAGGAAGACATAGGAAAAAAACTCCAACGGCAAGTGAAATAATTCTCGTAATTCTAGCTGAGCCAATATGATGAGTTGGCCCCGGCAATTCAACTGCGCCGCCTTCAGTTTTCCCTTTGTGTGAGTCCAGTTTCCAGTTACCGTTCTCTCTGACTCACTCTGCCAGTTACCCGCATCTGCTTCTTTCTGGACTCACGAGGTCGGGATTGACCCAATAGCTGTACTGTCGTCCTGCCCTGAAAGTTTCAGTGCCCTGAAAGCTTCAGTGCCGCTCCAGAGTCAGTGATAGGATGGGGGAGGAGAGGTAACGGGCCAGCGGGGCGGAGCGAGGTGGTGGGGGAAAGTTCCCGCCTGATCCCGCTGCCCACCCGACCCTGCTCCCGCCTGATCCCGCTGCCCACCCGATCCTACTACCTGTATGATTCCCATCCCGATCCTGCTACCCCGCCTGACCCCGCGCGCACCTGCGCACGATCCCTCCCCTCCCCGCGCTTCCTCCC